GGACTTACGAAAGTTGAGTATGTGTTGTCCCAGAGAGGTGCCCCACAAGTTCTCCTAGACGGCTACACGTTCACTAAGAACAGGACGAAGAATGAAAATGTGTACTGGAGGTGTGTGAACAGATCTTGCAGTGGCAAGTGCACCACAGTCAGAGACTACGTTCGCGGCACGTCAGAACACAACCATCCACCTAGTGATGACCGAGCAGTGAGATTTGTCAACGCCATAAGGAAGAAGGGCATGGAAGAGACAACACCTATGCAGCAAATCTACAACGACCTCATCAGCCAACAGGAGGACGACTTGGTGCCGCATCAAGAGCTGAGGTGGACCTTCCAGATCAGTGGACAGCGACACAAGATGGAAGAAGATTCCTGTTGTTTGCTGACGGAGAGGACGACAAGATACTGGCGTACTGCTCCGACGAGGCTCTTGAAGCACTGCAGTCCGCAGATAAAATCTTCATAGATTGAACATTCTCTACCTGCCCTCTTCGGTGAAACCAAGTATACATTATTCACGCGATGTCAGGTTCCACAATGTACCCTCTGGTCTACACACTCCTTCCAGATCGCCAGAGAGCTACATACACCAGACTCTTCAACCTCCTCAAGACCAAGGTTCAGCAGACCCTCGGCCGACCCCTAGCTCTATCTGTCATCCAAACAGACTTCGAACTTGCTGCCATTCAAGCTGCCGAGACTGTATTTCCTCAGACTGATGTCAAAGGCGGTCTATTCCATTTCTGTCAGGCAATATGACGCAAAACACAAGAACTAGGACTTGCAGTTGCATACAAAGAAGATGTGGAGGTTCGCAAGTGGATACGACGAGCTGCAGGTCTGGCATTGCTGCCCCTTCTCGAGGTCCAAGATGCCTGGCTTGAAGCCATGAACCAGTGCCCTGACGTGCGCCAATCTGATAGTTATATACTGCAGGGATAATTTTATGAGCGAAGGCTCATCGGCCTCCACATACAAACTAGGTACAGGAGAGGTTCTAAATGATCCAAGACAGAGTCTCAGTCCTTGATGATGTATGCAATCTAATTTCCCTAAATTACTTTGAGCAGCTCCAGCATATACAATTGAACCATAATCTAGCTTAGATCTAATAAGGGATCTATACAGGTGAAGTAAGATTGTCTGATCCCCACGCCACTTAGTATTTGCAACAACCTTTAGTAGATCCGGAGCCTTCAAGCATTTAGTTTTAAGATATTTTATATGAGGTGAAAATGTCAAATGGCGATCAAAAATAAGACCCAAGAACTTGGTCTCCTCAACAACCTTGATGGGGGCACCGTTTAACAGTAGTTCTGGGTCTTTATGCGGTCTATAATTTCAACAAAAATGGATACAATTTGTCTTTGCTTTGGAAAATCTAAAACCATTCTCAAGCAACCACTTTTGGATTTTATTTAGGCAAAGCTGCAGTTGCCTTACTATTGTGTGCATGTTTTTGCCACGAGAAGATATGTTGAAGTCATCTACACAGTGTGACCCATCAATTGAGTCATTCAATGCCTTAGAGAGACTGTTAATTTTAGTGCCGAATAATGTGACACCATACTGCCTTGTGGGACACCCTGATCCTGATTGTAATGGTCAGACAGGTTGAACCCACACGGACTTGAAATTGTCTGTCGGTTAAAAAACTGGATATAAACCAAGGCAAACGATCCCGCAATCCAAAATCATGAAGATCTCTTAAAATGCCATGCCTCCAAGTTGTATCATAAGCTTTTTCGTAATCTTAAAAAAATGGATACAGCATTTTGTTTGTTTATAAAGGAATTCTTATGAACGATTCCAAACGTACCAGATGATCAATGGTACTTCTATTTTCCCGGAAACCACATTGTATATCTGTGATGAGATGATTGGTTTCCAAATACCAAACTAATCGATTGTTCACCATACGCTCTATAGTTTTGCAAATGCAACTAGTGAGAGATATAGGACGGTAATTAGATTTATCATATAATATATATATATTTATCATATACCGGGTAGGTTTCTCGGCAGGTTAGAGCCAACGGATAAAAACGATATCCGTTGGGGTCATATGCGGATAGAGATGCAAATATCAAAGGTCAAGTAGGGACTACTTTCAGTGTTTATAAACAAACATGGCGTCGCCCTTGTTATTCGTCGATCGAGTCAGAATTAACCATCGGGAATCTGGATAATCTACAGGTATAATTGCTATCATTATCAAAAGAACAGTCTAATATACGGGAAATCAGTGTCTAACTGTGATGTAGCTAAGGAATTTTTTACGTTTTGGCAACTTTGGAGATATAAATTTCGAAACAATTTTGCGAGGGCACTTGGCCTAGCCAAGCGGGATCAGTAGCCATATCTGTGCTTGTAGACCAAGGCTCGCTAAATAAAATGTTTTTCTTAATGCAGGATATTTACCATCTCCAAACACACTCGCGTGATAACCTCTATGGATCTTTATGATCCCGTCCAGGTTTTGGTACAGGGACTACAATCGCATCATGCCACGAAGGAGGAAAAATCCCTGATGTCCAAATATCATCAAATATAACTGAACCAAATTAAAAACTTCACAATCCTAAAATTTTAACATTTTGACCAGTTATCATTGTGGGCCAATATTGTGTATTTAAACAGTAATGGCCACGTATTGTCTTCAGATAACACCCGTTTTTGTGCAGGTGAATCGATCAAAATCATGTGCACAGCACTATAGTGGCAAAAGTTTTTTGTCACGTGCAACTGGTCACGTGGCCATAAAACCGCACATGTTTTCAGCCAAACTTGTTAGCAGTCATTAAAAAAACCAAAAAAACACAAGAAGTCTTTACGGCCATTTGTCATGCCACGCCTTTCTAATGTGCAACGTGAACGTGCCATCGGCATGTTGCAGACGGGAACGTCCGTAGCTGAAGTCGCAAGGACGATTGGTTGTAGTCGACGGACTGTTTATGATTTACAGACGCGTCTACAGCAAACGGGTACCACCGCCGATCGCCCTCAGCCAGGTCGACCACGTGTGACGTCACATGCAGAGGATCGTCAGATTGTCTTACGTCACCTCCGTAACCGATTTTTGACGGCTACATCAACCAGAAATGAACTGTTAAGGGGTAGACTGAGTGCGCAAACTGTTCAAAACTGTCTGAGAAATGCTCACCTTCAAGCACGACGGCCATACTGCGGGCCGATTCTGACTCAATTACACAGACGTCAACGTCAATTGTGGGCACAGCGACACTTACGATGGACACAGGGGAATTGGAATCAAGCCGTCTTCAGTGATGAATCCCGATTTAATCTTCGATTTGCTGATTGTAGGTCGAGGGTGTGGAGGCGCCGTCATGAACGTTACGCCCTGTGTTGTGTACAGGAAGTTGACAGATTTCTAGGCGGAAGTGTCATGGTGTGGGGTGCTTTCTGTGGCAATGCACGTTCCAGGCTTTTTGTCATCCGTGGCAACCTCAACGCTGATGCTTACCGCGACCAGGTACTGGCACCAGAACTTCTGCCTTTTATGGCAGCACATGGACCTGGTTTGATCTTCCAACACGACAATGCCAGACCCTACACAGCAATTTCGACAAGGAATTTCCTTCAGAATGTGGGAGTCAACGTCATGGACTGGCCGTCAAGGTCTCCCGACCTCAATCCCATCGAACACGTCTGGGATGCTCTTGGCAGAAGTCCGCGCACTCTCCAGAACCAACCACAGAATTTGCAAGAACTTGGCACCATTTTGCAGCAACAATGGCAGATTAAACATGTTACATTTTTCTGACATCACATTAATCTGTGTTCTTAAGATAGGTTTCTTGTGAACACATAGCTGATGGTTTAGAATCTTGAATTAAAAGCTGTAAATCATGAAAATTATTTCTAAATCCTCTACAATTCCATTAAAGTATGTTGGACGATTGAGTCATGGTGGCTCAATCTGCGAACGCTCACGTACACGTGAGGAGGAAGGACTCCTACTTCTGCTCTGTGACGATGGTGTTACATCCATGTCCAGAGCATCAAAGGCGTTATGAACAATTATCTCTGAAGATGAGGAGTTCCTGGTTGTCTGATTTCTATTAAGTGATTTTCTTTTTCTCTCTTTTCTGGTCAAAGGTTGCATGTCTGGTTTTACAGCATCAGATTCTTTAGTGACAAGCACTTCAGCATCAGACACCGTATTGTCTAGTTCAGAGAGATTCCATCAGGATACTAGCATCTTAGACTATCAATAGTGTACATCTGTACGCATGTGCGGCGTGAGTCCCAGGAAGCCGTCAGCCTGTACAGACGTCTCTTAGTATATCAGTAAACAGTAATAAACCAAACCCCGCGTTCGTTATGCAGTTATCAGCTGATACGACAACCTGAGAACATTACAACTGTAATCATAGACTTTTTTTATTTGTGGAAAAAATACCTTTTGCTCGTGCTGCGTGCAAATGATATTTTTAAATGAACCTATGATTAAGTATGTAACACAAAACAAAGTAAAACTAATTCATTTAAGTTTTCATTCATCGATTTTATTTGAACTGGAGTCACGGACATATCACGGGCTAGACACTGCGAATTCAAAGCACGTCTCGCAGGCAGTTCGCTGGTGGGCGTGGGCTAATTTCTATTTATTGTGTCTATAGACGTACACACTTAAAAATCTGGTGTGCATACTTTGCATCAGTCTGCATATAAAGTGTGCACCTCCAAAACACAAAAATATATCTCACTCCATAAATGAGTCAACAAAAATAACTTCATACGCTGCTTAGTTAGTCATCAACACAAACCACTGTAGACCATACAACATCTGATTTGTTTTACTGGAGCCCGAGCAAAAAGCCGATATACGTATAAAACGATCTGGTCATGCATACACTGAAGTTGACTGAGGCTTTATCTTTACTCAAACATGTAGACGTCAGAAGGAATGTGTGCATAGTCAGAAAGAAATGCGAACATTAGAGATGTGTAGTTTTTTTTAACCATGGAGTGTGTGTGTGTGTGTGTGTAAAGTAGCGCTATGAAATGAAACCTTTATATGTCTGTATTTTGGGCCACTGGCCTCTATACTGAATAAATTGTCTTGTCTTGCCTAATGTTATGTGTAATGATGTGAAAATAATGTCTATGGATACACCTTTGTATGATCATTCACACCCCAATCGGAAAAGACCATTTTGATTTCTTATAGTGCATTTAACACCAGCGATACCGATGATTGAAAGCATGCAGTGGTTGATGTGACTACATGAAGTTGATTTCGTGTGTCTGACCTCCACCACAAACATACAGTGTGTCATGTCTATCGACATACAATCCTTGTGGATCACAGTCAATGTCCTGATGATCTGTGACATAATCCCCTGTCTCTGTCAGCCTTGTAACATTACTGATGCCTGCAAGCAGGATGTCTCCTGTTAGAGTAGTTGAGATACCATAAGGGCTAAGTGCTCTGTCTCCAGTAGGGGCGTATCTCCACACAACATCCCCCTCTGACGTCACACATGTCACAGACTTCTTCCCCCAGTCAGACACGAGTATGTTGCCCTTGTTGTTGACACAAATGTCGGTGGGGGAGGCAAACAGCGTCTCATTGTTGTGTGTAGTGACTGACCTCAGCACGTGTCCTGCCATGTCCAGGATGTCAACACAGGCGGTAGTACCTGCTGCTAGAGATGAAGGAGTCAGAACAGCGAGACTGTAGTAGTCCATGCTTGTTGTGATGGTTGAGAGCAGCACCAGGTCAGGGGTCACTTCCACTGTAACAATCTGACTTGAGTCAGGGACAGTAACCATCACCTGCTTCTCCTTCAAATGTGTTGCACCACATGGAAAGTTATCCAGGGGAAGTTTACTTTTGCATGTCAAGTTGTTTCTGGTGTAGAAGGATTTCACACACTTGTTATTTAAGTCAGTGACCACAACTGTCTGTATGCCATCTACAACCAGAACTGTGACGTCACATAGAGCAGGCTCCCCCTCATCACCCGCCATCCTCCCATCTATCACGTCCATCAGCACTGGAGAAGGCAGACATGTGCCCTGATCCTGGTATGTGACGTCAATCCTCCCCAGCTGTAGGTCATCTAGGATGTGCTGGACGTTGTCAGTGTCAGGTGTAAACCTGATTTCATCTATTCTCCGTGTGTCTGCTGTGTCTGTGTCCCTGACATCCCCCAACTCTACAGCCCCCGACTCCCAGGCCTGATACGCGTCATACAGGTCCATCTCACAGTCCGATACCAATGCCTGGTCAATGAACTCACAATGTTGTCTGTACATCTGCATCTCAATCTCTTCAAGTTTTACATCTACTTTAAGTTCCTTGGTTTGTTTGTCTGTAATATCCTTGACTTCATTCATCAGTTGTTTTCCTTTCTGCTTGATGTTGGCGATGGCTCTCTCAACAACAGATTTGATATCCTTTTCTACTGCTATTTTGTTTTTCTCAATTCCGCTAACCTTCTTGTTTGTTTTCTGAACAATTGTATGTTTTCTATGTATTTTCTTTGATAACTGTTCCGCGCTTTTTCTCAAGTGGTATTTCATAGTTGGCATCATTGACTCTATGGTAATGACAGACTCACATTGCCTGTGGTAAATAACACAACATGTCGGACACACAGCTTTGTGGCAGTCTTTACACACAAGCTTTATAACCTCATCCTTGTGTTCCCTGCACATGACCTTGCGTCTCCTCTTCACCTTGACCTCTCCTGAAAGGTCACAGATTTCATGGTCATGTGATGCTGGACTTGCACGATGTATCTTGACACATCTCTCGCAGAGGGACACTTGACACTCAGAACACCATGAGGCTCCCGGTGTTGTCTCCCCTAACTTCTCACACACAGAGCAACATGAAGCAGAACCTGTAAGTGGACATTTCTATGGTTAATGGAGATATCATAACTGTATTTACATAAATTACGAGATAGAAAATTCAGGAAAAATTGTTCTTTTTTTAAAGTTATTAACAGTGCTTGCGGTATAGGATTGGTGATAAAGTGTTGTCTTGTCAGGGTTATTTGATATTCTTGTGTGTGGGGAATAGGGGTAGATTTTGGGAGCCTAGGGTTTGATCAAAAACTTAAACAATTGCATGAGAAAATGCTTGAATAAAATTGTTATGCTTGAGACATTGGCTGCCATAAAATTACACTGTTAATAATTTTATGTAGGCTTATAGTTCTGATCAAAATGAAACCGACCTTTTGAAATGGGATTTTGTATTGAGGTTAGATATTTTCAGCCCCAGCTACAGAACCTGATATTTAAAAAAAATTATAATAATTTATATATATCTTTGAGCCTGAATTTGTTTTAAGAAACAAGTACTGGCAATTTTTTTCTCTCAACAATTTGAAGCATAATTATGTTTTTGAACAACATTTGGGGAGAAAATATTTTTTCGATAATATCCCCGCCTGAACCCAACCCCTGAGAACATCAAATGGCTGCGCCCTTACAATTAACTTTACATATTGTAGACATGTTTAGCTATTTTGTTTTCAAGAGCATTATCGATCACCTAGTCACAATAACTGTTATGTATACTAGTATTTATATATATTATGTCCGCATCATATTCAATGTTAATAATGAACATGTTATCATAGCTAAAATATATAGTACGCCCTTCTTAAAGTGCTTTGGATACAGTAGAGACATGCTTTTGATGGATAAATGTGTATTTTCTGGTGTTTATTTGAGTCAATTGTTATCATTGGAACAGTGTCTCACTGCAATACTGTAATTATACTATATATCTAAAAAAACATCAACTACCATTAAAATGCACATGTAATCAATACCCGTTTTGACAACGTCGGCTTGTGTGTCAATCAGCCCCTGTATAATGATGCTTGGTTTGATCTGCCCCGCCCACTCCTCCACTGGCCGGCTGGGGTGGGGGACCTTGGTATCTTGTCGACAGAAGGCACAAGGGATCGTCTTGGACTGTACAGCATCTGGTCTGGTTTGGATGTATGCAGTGACACATTTCCTGCAAAATGTGTGATCACACCTCAGTGTACAGGGGTCTGTGTACAGTTCCTGGCAAATCACACAGGTGAGGAATTCTCTCACTTCCCCAATCTGGTATACAGCCATCTGGAAAACAAGAATGAAGGTCACAAAAATCATTGTTCATTTTTTTTAAAAATATGACTTTGTCGTCCCTGTAATGGGGCAGTTTTGGTTGGTACATACTGAAAATATGTTGTTGAGAGCCACTTCGGACTTACCTTCCACATCAAGCCAACATGGTTTTACGGAAATACTGTTCAAAGAGGGATAACACCAAACTCATTCACGTGTTGAGTGCATAATTTAATATGTTGAAACGTCTATTATTCGATGTCAAACGTGTAGTTTGTCTCTGAGAAGTCAATGGTGTTTCTATGCCGAAACAACATCACAGTCAACTACACAATAGCGATCAGTATTATATGTAGAGTGTCGACCAGGCAAACCAACTGCTGACATCATGAGCATCGAATCACCTCAGCAGGGTACGATGAGACACAGCCAGCCATTTCTCACATTGTAACAAACGGTTCAAATTGAGTCACTCTGGTGATAAGCGTTGGTTACTTGATTATATTCAGCCACAAGTGGGGTAGTCTCTCAGTAAATCAGACTTTAATATTCTTTTAAAATCAAGTGGAAGTTTTAACCAAAACTGATAAAAATGTGTTCCCAAATTGACTATATACATAGTGCTATAGGAATACATTATTCTACATATATTTATATCACGCCAACAAGGCGTTTTAGAAACGTAGGTCTAATTTAGGTATTTGTTCATACTTATGTTTTAACTAAACTTCCCCTCATAATAGTTGAAATCATTATCTAATGACTAACTGGTTCTGCTGTTAAAAACAAGGTTGCTGTTTCCGCACACTTAAGGATTTACCTTGTAGAGATGAACTTATACTAAGTACATGAATTATTGTGACAATGTGAGGTGAGGCTTAATTAATGCCAATTAAACTCACACAGGTTTGACATTGTCGTCATTATTTGAAATGCACACGTGATTGAACTTTGAAAATCTACCAACAGTCAGTATAAATGAATTAATTATGTTAACACCAAGCCTTGTGAATGTGTGTTTTTTCTGGGAGAAGGGTTGTCAGTATTAGATCAGATAATCGACAGCGTTTCCGTTGGGAATATTCAGTTAATTCTGCATTCGTCATTTTCGAATTATCGAGTTGATGCATGTTGAGGTTAGTTGGTGTCCTTGTACTATAACTAAAGACAGTTCTGTACAACTTAACCCGAATTATTACATGAAGCAACAAACACCCCAAATCTTACCAGTTTTCATTCGCCTCCACTTGATACCGGCCTCAGTAAGGATCGAACATAAGATCCTGAGTATCGCCTCCCTATGTATTAAAGGCTCAGCTCCATCATATCTATCAAGTTTAGTGAGAGAATATGTACCATCTAGATACCCCAGATCGACCAGCGTCTCAATGCTTACCATACCACCAACATGCGACCACAGACGCTGTTCCTCCACATTTGCTTCACTTTGAAACAATCAACCTCTCACCATAAAAACATACTTGTTCAATCAAACTACTTATTTTTGTAAGTATTGATTTTGAAAAAAAACGGTCAGACGAAAACCATCACACTAGACTTATTTGCGCACGGTTTAATCGTATGTAACAAAAAATATGACTGTATGCCTTTCCTCATATCGAATAATTAATTGGATTTCGAACAGCTCATCACATATCAATTTGTGTATCACTTTGCTTTTTGGATTGTCCTGTGGATTTATAATTATGAACACAAGTCTTCTCCCTTTCTCGACATATGTAATATCGATGTTGGAAGGATGTACGTTGAAGTTACTGTAAGTGTTCCAAATAAATATTTAAATTCAAATTAGTTATTTTCTGTAAGAGGGAATTGGGTTTTACTTTGTCTTGCTCATAGTTGGATTTTGAAAGTTGGAAATATGCATGAAAGAAGAATGACAACTTTTAATTTATATTTGATGTTTGTAATGGGCAAACAAGAACCTTTATCTTACCTCGCCCCTTGAGTCAACTTCAGCCTTGCAGTCAGTTTAAGTTAAAGTCTTACTAAGACATCATTAATGCCAGCTTCATTCACTCCGGAGTGACTTGTAAACTTGAAATTCAGAAAGTATTGTCAGAACGGTGATGAGACATGTTCATAACACCTCATCAGTCTATAAATAGAAATGTTTTCGCAAGCGTGTGGTAACGATTGAAGGTCAATGTGAAAACGACGTCCAAGGAAGCTTGTGTACACAATATCATGATATGAATGTATTAATTTGAGAACGTTTTCAGGGTCCTCAAAACAATGAATACTTTATGTCAATTATTTATAAAACAAAGAATGTTTCAATGATAAATATTACAATGCTTAATTAAAACAAGCACGAGGCAGGTTGAATGTAGTAGGACAGTGAGAGTGAAACCCCGTTAATCCAGGTGTCACCATCTGTGGGGGCGGGGAGGGGATCTCCAATGATTTACAAAACTGTAACCACTAACTATCAAAACAAGGGCATCTGTATCTAACATCTGTATGTGTGTGTGTGTGTGTGTGTGTGTGTGTGTGTGTGTGTGTGTGTGTGTTTGTGACTGTTTGTACTAGTCCGGACTGATGCCGATTTATAGTGCAGGCACACTGTGATACGATGCCGCAGTTGAATATGAATACTCACACACAGTTTACTGATTTCGAGCCGACCAGTCCTTGTTTTAGCCTCTTAATGCAGAGTGTCGGTCGGGAATCGAACCCCGGACGCTCCGCCACTAGAAAACGGAGGAGGCCACATAGCCACTGAGAAAAACATCAACAAAAAGTCTTTTTCCTAATATTCTCTGTGTATTACAATGTCTGTTTATTCAATGTTTGCAAATGCCAAGTGACCAACATATTTGGTGTATCGCTAAGGTCACTTTGTGTAAAGGGGCTCAGGTACACACAGAAGAGTTTACGAGGCCTGCACTGTGTCACCAGTTTATATCTTGAGAGATAGTGACGCTGTGGCCTACAACAGTATTGTGCATGTGGTTGCCAGCTGTGTCCTGTGTCATGTCATATTTGGTATCATGATCCCATTAACGTGCGAATGGTCAGCGAGCAGGTGCAACTTTTAATCTCCATACATCGATTCAATATCTGCTTTATCTGTAACCTATAGACGAAAGTTTCTTCCCGATATGTGGATAATCATATCGACAAACATGGCTGTACATCACCATATGATAAATGGGACAGTTCACTCCAACACTGTATTCAAACGCGGTTTCTGAAGCTGAGTGAGATCAGGTTGAAAAATTGAACATCATTGATCGAGATTATTGTAAGAATGATATGACAGGGTAAAAAGATTACCCTCGTGTGATTCCGAATCCTAAAAATCAAATATGAGGAATGTGTCGTATGCTCGTTACAGGGTCGAACAATTCAAATTTTATTCTATAAATTTTGATATTTATGACACGGAAACACACTCATGTATTATACTCTACATGTGTTTTGTTTTGTTTGTTGTTTTGAACGCCGCACTCGGAACTATGCCAGTTACATGACGACGATCTGTAAATTATCGCGTCTGGACCAAACAAGGTTGTGACTGACATTTAGGTAATTAGGACACGATGACATGATACAATACGACAAGCATTGATTGCCGAAGACCCATTCTAACCCGGATCTTCACGGGGAACACATAAATGCATGTGTTAGCCATACATGTCAGTATATACTGATACAAATCAACTTCTTATTCAGGAATTTTTAATGCGAGGTCATTTTTGTGAAAATATTTTGCATAAATGTTACAGTGTCCAATGCTGACATGATAGATTGCGTTGAACTGACAGGTTGTTGTATGAAGGCAGTACATACACTGGTGTATAGATGGGAACAAAAGGATAATGCCCCATTCCTGCAGCTTTATGCGAGTTTGATAAAAACTGTTCATATATGAAATACAACAAAGGAAGATACGAGTGTCAGGGTCTGGCCGTGAAATGGGTGTTTCCAACGGCAAGAGCTACATGTACGATAACAAACGTTTTCAAAAGACACTTGCAATTACCTTGCCAGTTCTCCTATGAGCATTGTAATGTCAAGAGCCTATCAACAGCAAAAGTACAGCCGCAGTTCTGTGCACACAGTAGGACCAGAGTTCACTCTCTACAACTATCTAGCGGTGGTTACCGTATCGCCTCATCCCTTCATAGTATAGAAACAGTTGGCCTATATGTCTCGACTGAGGACTGCGGGTCGACCAGTTAGAAAATGACTTACCCTTCTTGATCTCCGGTTGGCTATAAATAATAAAATATATATTTGATGTCTTATCTCTTCCTAAATCATTTACCCCCAAAATATATACTTTGGCGGTGCTAGCGAAACATCGACCAATCTTAAATATTAACGAATGTTTATTAATAATGTGTTAGGTAATGATTTGTATATTATGGAATTATTCCATGTTATGTCCAGTGCCAACACCAAACCTACCTCTCAGTTGTCCCCTGTCCCGTGTTGATATGATATCTTTCCAGTCACAAGATCAGTATACGCCAAACCATGTGATCAAACCAGACTACTAATGTTATCTATGAGATAGGCCTTCACTTTAGAAGATAAACAGAAAGCAGAAAAATAGTGCAGACTCCTTTTCAAGAAGCTTTGAGTGTATCTGAAGCATGTTTGGTGGAAGTAGTGAACTTTCTAAGCCGAATTTCCATCGTAAACCCAACGTGTTTATGCTCCTCCTTGCAAGACATATATCTTTCAACTGAGTCTTATGGTAGCGTTAACCTGGTACGTTGGATCAACACTATGGGTAAGGGAGGGAAATACTTATGGGTTTTTAGGACAAATTGTATAAAATGTTGCAGTAAAGTTAAACGTCCTTTCGTAGATATAAAAACGAAAATGCGTCGGGTACGTTTCTGGGTTAGGCAAGGATATATCCTGTTCACTTTCACTGTGTTACTTCGCGTCTTCTACAGAGATACCTTTAGCTGATATGTTACTGGCCTTCTTTGAATTACAACCGTATAAAAATTCAATTGATCTTATTTCAGTCATGTTTCACATAATATTTAAAGATATCAAAGCAAACAGAGAAATACTTGTCATACGGGCTATATCCCTAACTGAATAACCTTGACCTTGTCCACAACGTTGCCAAGTTCACGTGCACAGCGAACTACATTCGCTACACTTTAATATTAGTATGGACATCTCTGAGATGTGCCTGCAATGCTAATCATCAGCAATCGGCGTATCGCGAAGGTTCTGCGTTCAAGAATCACGCCACGAAAGAGAAATAACAATCCGAGAATGGTGACTGAAACAACCATAATTGGCAAATTGACTGAGGAGTTCCAATAGATATTTTCACTGTTTACTTTAGCATGGGAAAATACATTGTATGTGTTTATATATCCTGAAACATCAGCAAGCCCTGTTTCCTGATAGACGAAGCCGTCGAAGGCTGACCATGATGTGAGGTTTCAAATTTGTTTGTAAACATAGTAAACACGTAAAATAGTCATTCGAACTATTTTGGCTCTTATTTTTACAAGTTGTCAATTCCTTAACCCGTCTTGATTATCATGAGTTCGTTTTCGTCAACATATACAGTGAGTCTCTTGTGCAGGATTAAAACACTGTCACAATTTGTTTCTCAAACACACTCTTATAACATATGATATAGACCTTGGAAGTGATCATAACCTTGTTATAAATGAAGCTAGAGGCATGTGACTTTCTGACTTTAAAAGGCCAACAATACTCCAACTTTCTGATGCAACGTTATATTTTAAAGCAAGTCAAACAAGTCAAGATTATAGTCCATTATACGGAAACTCTGAATCTGTGAAGAAAAAGCCAACCATCTTTTCAAAACTTTCAACATTGTAGTGTTCTTGTCCTTTAAAGTTGTCCTGAACTAGATAACGTGAGGGCTGAAAGATGAACACAGATATTGGTGAGGTCAGCTGTCACCTAATTTGGTGAAGTCCAAATGGTTCTGGATATAGTGTTGCATGTGGCAAAAGGGTTCGGGACATTTAACATAAGGTTGGGGTGGGTCTGCTTGCATTTTGGCATGTAATGCAAACACCTGTTTAGTTGTTTTGTTGTAGTTGTGTATGACGGCACAATGACTTATCCTTGCCCAGACGTGCAGTACTGGGATACATTCCATGACGGATCTGTGCTGTAGGGAGACTTACGTAAGAACAAGTAAAAAATACAGTCAACAAAAGTTATTATAATTGCATGCATAAATCTAATTGTGTTGATAGACATCATATAATTGTTCCAGATTCCTTGACCGTGTGCTTTGTTAGAATATTCTTAAAGATTTTCAACAATTATGATGTGTTTTTCAAACCTAACACTTTGGTTTTAGCGTCATGATATGCTCATAATATTTCAGACTCATTCATTAAGCAGGTTCAAAACATAATTCGAACCTGAACAGACAGGCAGATGACTACTAGGGCTGAAATGAGTCCAAATTTACTACCTAGGTACCCGACTCCCTATTACCTGACCCTACCCAGGTACCCGACCCCCTTTTACCTGACCCTACCCAGGTACCCGAACCCCTGTTACCCGACCCTACCCAGGTACCCGACCCCCTGTTACCTGACCCTACCAAGGTACCCCTACTCCCTATTACCTGACCCCACCCAGGTACCCGACCCCCTATTACCTGACCCTACCCAGGTACCCTACACCCTGACCTGATCCGACCAGGGAACCTGCTGTAGGATTCGAGTAGGGTAGAAAATGCCTGTTTAGAAATGTTTTACCAGAGCCCTGGCAAAAACCCTTTCGATACATGCATATACGAACTGATCATGCATACACTGAAATTGACTGAAGCTTTACCTTTACTCAGATATATAAAAGTCAGAGGAATACTTGGATCGTCAGAAAGAAATAGGAAACATTAGTGATTTGTGGTGTAGCCATGGAGTTTTATTGTTATTGAACAATATAGCACGTGACTAAACGCGGGTTCGGGTAATCTTGTGGGTGATCAGATCCAACCCAGGACCCACCTAACCCAGCCCTAATGGCTAAAAACAGAAGTGTACGAGGTGAGATTCTGTTTCCAACCTTTTCAGCTGTAAAGAATAATATCAAATGTCTCCAGTGTAAAAAAGTACAACTGACCAGCTCCAGTGGCAGAGAGAAAAGGTATGTCAGTTGATCGTGACGTCATGGTAACCGATGATGTCACACTGGTCTGCAAAACATTGTGACGCAACTTTAATGTAAATAATTTACTTCAATATTTGTTGCGTTTATGGAGGTGTAAGTACATGACAGACAAAGGTATAGTGTCATGTTTTTTATTTGTGAAAAATACATTCTGCTCTTGCTGAGTGTCAATGCTATTTAAAACGATCCAATGATTATGTGTGCGGTACAAATAAGTAAAAGAAATCGATTGAAGTTTTCTTTCAATGATTTCAATGATTTTATTTAAACTAGGGGCTATGCATATCACGGGCGAGCCACCGCGAATTCCTACGACATCACGCAAGTAGTTCGCTATTGGGCGTGGGCTAATGTTATTTTAGGTTAAACAATCTAATGCAACGGACTCACTTGCAATTTATTTATTTAAGAATTAACTTCAATATTTATTGTGTTTATGGAGGTATAAATCTAAAAAAGCTTGTGTGCATACAACGCGTTCACTTGTTACATACAATCTCCGTATAAAACGCAAAGTGTGCATACGCCTCTAAGCAAAAAAATACATTTTACAAGTCAACAATAACAACTTCATCAAGACATTAACACAAACAAAGAGTAGACTAATCAAACTATGTGACATTGTACAGCGCAATAGTGCAACACAAGATCTACCAATTCTATTATCAGCCTGTCATGAAACAAATCCGAGGGTTTGCGTGGCCTAATGTTTGTTCAGTTTATGCAGAGTAAACTAAATCTATTTTATGGTCTCTGATTATGGAGCTGACACACAAAAATAATTTCATTTTTAGCCAAACAATAACATGGGATCACTTACAGTTTATTTTTTGACAATTGCCTACAACACTATTATAATCAGTATAGATATGGACACAATTACACAATTGTAGAAGTGTTCCTCCGTACAGGAGCTATTTGTTATTAAGTGGCTCGCCATAACGTTCCACAAGACAAACTTCATGACATCGCAAACATCCTACATGGAACACCCTATCTACTATCTAGTAAAGTAAAACCATTCTATGACCAGGGTGCAGTGGACCACGTACCTAGCATGCTACTGACTGGACCTGGGACGAGTCCAAATCTACAGCCCGGGTAACCAGCCCGACCCGGGAACCCACTGATGGTCTCAAGAGTTGGGAACTCATTAGTGTCATTAAACAATATATCAAGTGACCATCCACAGGTCCAAGTAGTCATGTGAGCACTTCAATACAAGTAAACCATATCATATCCACTAAGAATAGAGTGAAGTATTGGTATCTCTTGAGCATATTGGGATCAAACCAAAGGCTTTTCGCCTTCCCGGCCGACACCGTACTTACTAGAACACGGAGGCGATTTAATAAAGAGAACCAGGTTGCTAAACACATAATGTGAAGTGTAATGATGTGGAAATAATGTCTTTGGATACACCTTTGTATGATCATTCACACCCCAATCGGAAGAGTCCATATTGAGTTGTTATAGTGAATTTAACACCAGTGATAGTGATGATTGAAATCCTGCAATTATTGATGTGACTACATGAAGTTGACTTCGTGTGTCTGACCTCCACCACAAACATACAGTGTGTCATGTCTATCGACATACAATCCCCATGGATCACAGCCAATGTCTTTATGACCTGTGACATAATCCCCTGTCTCTGTCAGCCGTATCACCTTGTTGCTGTCTGCAAGCAGGATGTCTCCTGTTGGAGTAGTTGAGATACCATAAGGGATGATTGCTCTGTCTCCAGTAGGGGCGTATCTCCACACAACATCCCCCTCTGACGTCACACATGTCACAGACTGCTCCTGACTGTCAGACACGAGTATGTTGCCCTTGTTGGTGACACACATGTACCAGGGGTAGGTAAACAGTGTATCATTGTTGTGTGTAGTAACTGACCTCAGCACGTGTCCCGCTATGTCCAGGATATCAACACAGACCCGACAACCTGATACTAGAGATGAAGGACTCAGAACAGCGAGACTGTAGTAGTCCTTCCTTGTTGTGATGGTTGAGAGCAGCACCAGGTCAGGGGTCACTTCTACTGTTACAATCTGACTGGAGTTAGGGACAGCAACCATCACCTGGTTCTCCTTCAACTGTGTTACACCCCATGGAGAGCCATCCAGGGGAAGTTTACTTTGACACAGTTGATTGTTTCTAGTGTAGAAGGATTTCACACACTTGTTATTGAAGTCAGTGACTACAACTGTCTGTATACCATCTACAACCAGGACTGTGACGTCACGTAGAGCAGGCTCCACCTCATCGCCCGCCATCTTCCCATCTATCACGTCAACTTGCACTGGAGACGGCAGACATGTGCCCTGATCCTGGTGTGTGACGTCAATCCCCCCCAGCTGTAGGTCATCTAGGATGTGCTGGACGTTGTCAGTGTCAGGTGTGAAACTGATGTCATCTATTCTCCGTGTGTCTGCTGTGTCTGTGTCCCTGACATCCCCTACCTCTACAGCCCCCGACTCCCAGGCCTGATTCGCGTCATACAGGTCCATCTCACAGTCTGATACCAAGGCCTGGTCAATGAACTCACAATGTTGTCTGTACATCTGCATCTCAATCTCTTCAAGCTTAACATCTGCTTTAAGTTCCTTTGTTTGTTTGTCTGTAATATCTTTGACTTCGTTCATCAGCTGTTTTTCTTTCTGCTTGATGTTGGCTATGGCTCTCTCAACAGCAGATTTAATGTGATTTTCTACTGCTATTTTGTTTTTCTCAATTCCGCTAACAATTGTTTCTTTTCTATGTATTTTCTTTGATAACTGTTTAGCATGCTTTCTTAAATGGTATTTCAGGTTTGGCAACATTGACTGAATGGTAATGACAGACTCACATTTCCTATGGTAAATAACACAACATGTCTGACACACAGCTTTGTTGCAGTCTTTACACACAAGCTTTATAACCTCATCCTTATGTTCCCTGCACATGACCTTGCGTCTCCTCTTCACCTTGACCTCTCCTGAAAGGTCACAGATTTCATGGTCATGTGATGCTGGACTTGCACCATGCATCTTGACACATCTCTCGCAGAGGGACACTTGACACTCAGAACACCATGAGGCTCCCGGAGTTGTCTCCCCTAACTTCTCACACACTGAGCAACATGAAGCGGAACCTGTAAGTGGACATGTCTATAGTTATTTGACATATCATAACAATATTCATATAAATAAGAAGATTGAGAATACAGGTAAAATCACCCCCTCTCACCTATTTTCAATGCACGAATAGGGCGGTGGGTGTAGGCTTGGAGATAACGTGTTGGCTCGTCACGCCCGTGGGTTTGATGTGTGAAGCCCATATTGGCATAATTAACAGTGGCGTAAAACTCATTCACCCAGTTATGTACATGTAGTTTCAACAGGTACAATTACTCTTACAAGCGTACAGTTTCGATCACGATTTTCACGGGCGGTAGGGAAGCCTTGTGGTTTAAGTGTTAGCCAGGTTTGATTCCCTACTTGAGTAAAATGTGTGAAGGCCATTTCTGGTGTCCCCAGCAGTGATATCGCTGGAACATTCCTGAAGGCGGCAAAACTACATACTCACTCACTCACTATTATCAACCTGAAACATTCTATCATTACAAATAACCTTTTCATAAACTGTCATTTGTAGATGTTTTCATATAATAATATTTTCAAGTGCTTTATGGATGATCTGAGTATATTTGCATCATGTAAACCGATAATAATCAGTAGGTCAATTAGCATTGCCAGTGCACATTGTCCCGACGTCAAAATATATTGTAAATATTTCTATGCCGTGATTACAGTTGGAGTCATGTTTGTAACAAATGTATATTTTCTGGAGTCGTTTAGTGGAGTCATTGGTATCATTGAACATACTGTGAACAGCAGTACTGTAATTATACTGCATGTTTAAACAAATAATGATTACCCTTTAACATGTTTTTTTTATTTCAAACATGATTCTTATTAATAGATTTCAGTTTGTGAAATGAATGGGTAATTCATAATATAATAAACCAATACCTGTTTCGACAACGTCAGCTTGTGTGTCAATCAGCCCCTGTATAATGATGCTGGGTTTAATCTGCCCCGCCCACTCCTCCACTTGCCGGCTGGGGTCGGGGACATTGGTATCTTGTCGACAGAAGGCACAGGGGATCGTCTTGGACTGTACGGCATCTGGTCTGGTTTGGATGTATCCTGTGACACATTTCCTGCAGAATGTGTGATCACACCTCAGTGTACAGGGGTCTGTGTACAGGTCTGTGCAGATCACACAGGTGAGGAATTCCATTACTTTGTCAGCTCGTGACGTCGCCATCTGTAAAACAAAAATAACTGTTCACTTTTTTTAGAAATAGTTTCAGCTGAAGTTGTTCCGTCTTTGTAATGGCGTTACATGTGTTTTGTTTGAGGCAATAACATTTCTTGAGTGCGACTTCCATATCAAGCTGACACGCGATGATATAACTGAAATACTGCCTTAAGCGGCATAACACCAAACACATTCAACCCATCAGTAGCTTGTGTGCACCACTAAGTATGCTGAGACGCCTCTGTAAATCCATGTCGAATGAGTCGTTAACATCTCATTTCTTGTAACACAAATGACCATATCGACCAATCCATAGTGCTACAGGAATAACAGATTCTACATATCGTGACTTCATGTCAAACAAGGTGTTTGAGAAGCGCGTGTCTATGTAATTGTTTATACTATTGTTTCAATAAAATATGTTCCTACATTATAGTTTTTTTTATGAATTCTGTCATAAGAACAAGCTCGATCGTTGTTTCCACTCAATAAAGGATTTACCTTGAATAAATGAACCGAAACTGAATATATGAATGTATTTTGATCATGTTAGATGAGATTTGATGTCAACTTCTCTCATGTAGATGAGGCAGTAAACTGTCGTCATTGATTCAAATGTGCATTTGTTTTTATATAATGAAAGCTAACTCTAAAACAACTACCAATAGGGTCCTGTATTAGTGACCTGTAATCCACCTCCGTCAACACCAACCAAGCCTTGATTTACTGATAATGGACACGCCCCCTCACAGTCACAATACAAGGGGGGTAACTGTGAACGTTAGTATTCAGGACCAAGTCAACACATCTCTATTGTGTCATTTTTACACGTCGACAATGTCAAACATTTGTAAAACCCATAACAATAAAAGAAATTGAATTCAATATACTTTACATTTTTGTATTACCTTGGGGTCAACAATTTCTACTTTCGGTTTCTCTTCCTTTGATGTTTCTTGTGTTTACATAACTAAATTAAAGAAACGCATACCTTATATAAGTTGATGCTGACCTGAATAAACAGATATACTAGTTCGTCATGTGCACTGTGTTTTAATTGTACGTCCTGGATGCCTTGACATAACCAAATCCCGCCGAGGTACACACCTGTGCTAACCTGTGCCTACCTGTCCCTTCCGCATGACGTACGAGGGAGGTAACTCCGAAATATCGACTAGTGGTGATTTATAAGAGATCAAAACTGATGACAACGTAGGTTCCTGGGTCGAATCCAGGATGATTCCTATAACAACTTGAGAGATCGGCACATATCAATATAAACTGACAGTACACACTCTAAACAGTATTTTTGTAATATCCTAAGATGTTATACACACTCGTTTGACGTTTATGTCAGCACAAGAAATAAAAGGTTACATGCGCGAGGGAGCGTTTGGACAAGCAGCTATATACCAGTTGTGGTGATTCACATGACTTAAATGTTTTAGATATGAAATATGCCACAGATAAGTTAACTCTTTCTAACATGAAACGTAAATATAAATCTGACCAGTATTTCTAAGTAATGTTAACTGGCAGATCAAAACACTGTCATGTAAACATCTTAATCTCGAGAAACATGTAGGTGTTATACCACTCTTACACCAGCAGGATTCCTGGGGTCTCCGCATGTTGTAAAAATAAATTTATAAAGTCATATATACTGTTGTGGTCAAAAGCTTCAGATCACTAAGCGAAGTCACAGATTTTAATGTCAGATATGTTCACTGCATGCTGAATAATCTCTTGTTTCGTTTTACTTGAACACAAAACCTGCATATGTGGCACGTGCGATACCCTACAGGTAATCTCTTACTAGTTTCCCTCAGTACGTATGGGGACTAATGTTTAGCCTCTGATACTATAAGCATGAAAGCATTTACTGATTTCAATACACGAGATTTAACGTATATATTTACGTGTTTTACTATTCCTTCATGATTAATTGATAAAATGATAAATTTCCCTGATCGAGTTTGGATCTGTGCGATGAAGGAATATCCCTATTTACTTTTACTGGACGGTGTTCATTTCCATATATGTATGGACATCCCATGACTCTAGGTGACTGAAACATGCTGACACGAACACATGACACACCCAACGCAACTGATGAACGAAAGATGTTTTATGTTGTTTTCGTAAATGTTCTGACGTCCTTCCTTGTCTCATGTTTTCTTGACCTACTAACTTCACAGTACATATCAATTTTACTAAAGTGAGAAAACCGTTTCCATATTCAAAAGAAATCTAGTCATTTACAATTCCGACAATATGATGATCATGTGTTTAGTAATCACTATCAAATAGTGATGACACCAGGTGTTCGTAAAAAGGTGAGCGTATCCTGCCCCACCAGTAGCACCCGTCACAAACACATGCAAAGGCACGTCAGTTGTTCACTTGAAATACACGAGAACATATGGGACAAGTCAAATGATGGAAGTGCATTGGACATTATTATATACATCTATTATATCAGTGAAAATATTTAGATAATTATTAGCCACATTACAGTCTCAATGTGTTAGGTAAAGATATAAAGTGACCAACGTACCATCACCCGCTGTGTAACAAGTCCAAATCAACACCAAAAGAGAGATTTTATCTGAAACATACAAACACTATAAAAAAAATGTGATAACCATGCGAATATGAAACATAAATTACACATCACTGTCTTCATACATGATCAATATCCTGTTGTAACAAGGATCCATGTATACCAGAAATAACTTGACCAACCTGGAGCAATCACCCCGTCTCGATCAATGGCACAGTTACATGTAAAATTGCCTCGTCTGTTTGAATACGAAAGGGCACATATGTCAAGAGTCGATCTTTTGGCGGGTTTGATGTATTTCGTATTTTGTGATCTGTCAGGCGTTTGTTTTTGGTTTCAATTTCTATAATGTTTAGATTCTAAAGAAACCATAACAAATGTCAGGTTTAAACACATTGAGGCACCTAAACGCTATGATATGTAGTTGGAATATTAATGAGTGCGGCATTTACCTCATCATATCACTGGTATCTCATTACAGTGTATCCGTGTATCATGTTAATCAAGTTGACGACAGGCCTGCGGACAACAGACACACCAACCGGCAGATATGTATTATGTATACTAATAACAAGTGCGCTGACCAATGTGTTTGTATGTATTAAGTGATGAAATACCGTATTTCTCTTAAAATATAAAACCGGTATCCCACTCCAGTGAGTGAGTGAGTGAGTAAGTGCGTGAGTGCGTGAGTGCGTGAGTGCTTGCGTGAGTGCGTGTGTGCGTGTGTGCGTGCGTGCTTGTGTGCGTGCGTGCGTGCGTGCGTGCGTGCGTGAGTGAGTGAGTGAGTGAGTGACACGAGAAATGGACTTCACATATTGTACCCATGTCGGGAATCGAACCCGGGTCTTCGGCGTGACGAGCAAACGCTTTAACTACTAGGCTACCCGATCGCCCCTCACTCCAGTGAAGTAACACTCTATGGCTGAACGATTTTACATCTGCCTCATTTCTCATCATTTCTCTTTGAAATATCAACTATGTCAGGTCACTTGAAAATACAAATATTCACTATTTATTCCCACGCTATATACCACTGCACATTCATAACCCTTGACACCAGGCTTATTTATATCCAATCAGCATACATTGTGCAGAGACGGGGTCATTGTGTCCCTTGATGTCGTAAATATCATACAGGTAATACCTGTTCTACTGCATCTATGTAGGTGAGGAAACAATATCACGTGACAGATAAATCACTTCCGTGTCAGCTCAGTCCAGCGTTATCAGGGATTGAGACAAGCACTCTACACATTCTTTGTGAAAAGTGAATGAAGCCTTCATAGAATAACTTCGTGTGAATGTTAAATGTATATCTTTTCATCTTTTAAAATCGTGCAGAGTTGCTTTGGCTGTAAATTGATAACAATATCCCGTTTACACCTGTAATGATCTAAACAGTAAATGGTTCTTTTGCTCAATTTCACCAATGACAGTGTGTTCCTTGTCAGCTGTCACACAACACAATCAGCTAATTGAACAACAGAGCCTCTTCTAAACAAGTATACATGTATTTTCAGATTGTGCAACGACATTCTAAACCTACAGATGTAATATGTACATTCATGGATGTAAATGTGATTTAAGTAGCATACCTGGAAATAAATTAAGATGTTGACTTTGAATCATGACAAGACTGCGTAAACATATCATCCTGTCTTTGCTTTAAATTCCACACACAAACATTCTCATTACCAATATAACATGAAATCTTTATCCAAGGTAAATACAATCATACAAATAGTAAATCCTTAAACTCTGATACCCAAGTTCGTTGGCCATTATTGTCTGAACGTTTGAGCATGAAGTAAAATTGATGCGGAATCGATTACAATCCGTCCTCCACTATATATTCCAATTACAACGCTACATTGACTAAACGCTGCATACAATCACGTCCAGTTCGTCCTTGTACTGCCTTATTAGGGGCAAATATATCAATACAAAGACGTCTCTTTAAATACATGTTCTGAATTTTAATGTTGTAATATTGTGTACCCAATATTTCAGACACATATAATGACATTTGAGAAATGGTTCCATCAATTAATATCTCATTTAAGAAATAAACGACTGCGTCCCTCATGGTTTATTCACCCTGCAGTATGTTATTGTACGATAAACAATATTTCTTAAATAATGTACAATTTTAATAACCCCAATTGCAAAGGTCGATGGGACAGTCTAGTGGTAATTGGCAGACCATGTGGGGAACATACATGTTCGGAACAATCAATTTTGTTTGAGGTGGGATAGTAGATGGACTATTTTTCTGAAAAACTAATCCAGTCAGTCAGTTTCTAGAATAGAAAACGTTCGTCCATATTGGCATATGGCACTTTTTGCCAGGCGAAATCAATTCACACAACTGTTTAATAGGCATTTTAAACAAGTTGACGGATGAAAAAGAAGATATAATTTATGGATAACAATGTCATAGGTCATAGGTCTTTGCCATCGGCTTTGACTCGTCTTGCGCACACCTACATATTTTACTGTGTGTGCATTAGAACGGCTAAAATGACAATGTTGGATGTTGAAATGTTGTCAGAGTATTTCCGGTATTCAGCAACATTGTCAGATCCGTGTCTATTATACCTGTTATTTTGATCGCTTTGTGAGTTCATAAAGGCCTGTGTTTTTGGAAAATGTTCAGTATATGAACTCTTGAGACTATGACTTCAAATTGTGAACCTACTTTGCGCATGTTTTATCAGTTGTATTCAATTAAAGGGAGTTAGGTTTATTTATGATTTAATTTCGTCTACCCACTCCCTTTGAACCTGAGCAAAGAGGTGTGAAACACAACACACATAGTAATATGGGTATCCTAATAAAGACTACGTCATGCGTGACTGACGTTACACTGTTATATCTTTCATATTCATATACCTCCATGAACTAACAGATTTATGATGGTTATGTTTTTAATGTTACGTGAATTATGACAAAGTTTTACATATTTTTCAGGAAGGTGTTATCTGGAAAACCCAAGACAACACGCTATTGGCTCGGCGTTACCTTTGGAGTTGATAACCTTTATCGCTGACACCACCTATATATAACGTGCATACCAAGACGTCAAAATGGCCGTGTCCTCCATGTTGTGTGACGTCGTTGATGGCAGGGTAAAGCTTGACGTCAAGGAGGCTGGTCTATCTGATGTCATTGTTTTTGTCATAGATGCTATACCAAATAACAGCCGTTACGGATTTGAAGAACAAGTGCCTGGAAGTCTTTTTATACAAGGAACAACCAGTCATGCCACAGCAAACCTACCTTGAATAACGAACCAAGGTGTATAACACAGTTGAATGAGAACCAGGTGATGGCTGAGGTTCCAAACGCCCGGCAGATGGTAACAGTAGAAGTATATCCTAACCAGGTGATGCTGACCTGAAGATACTCCTTCTTCGTGGTTTGAGATCCATCACAACTGATAGCGGGCTGTCGGACCTCGGTTGATATCCTGAATATGTCAGGAAAAGTGTTGAGATCAATCACAACACATGGCAAGCTAGACCTGTTTCATTTTCCCTTTCTGTCTTAGTATGAAGGGCAAGGACAGGATTCTAGTGTCAGACTGGAAGAAGTCTTTGACCTGCGTAACGTCAGAGTGGAATATCCTGCGGGAGTACGTTCCTGTACGAGACAGGTCTCTGTCCTGGCCTTCAGGCATCACAACTACCAGTACAGGGGATACCCTGCTTGCAGACGGGCGCCGAAACCAGCTGATCCAACTGACGGAGGCGGAGAAGTTTGTCAGTCATGTGATCACATCACAAGCTGAGGTTGACGATTTACGGGTATACGTGAAGTGAAGAATTGTTCCTTGTGTGTTTGCGATGGGTCTGGAGTCAACATAATCCCGTTACCCCGTGACTGAATATACAGTGACGTGGAAGATATCGAGAACGGTAATAACTTAGGTACGTCATAATATTCTATTCTGCTTCTCCTTCCTTCTTTCTGCCTACTGTACATATTGTAATTGGATTTTGTAAATATTATGGAGAGGGTGTTCTAATTTGGACAACTGGTACCATATCCATTTTACTACAATGTATTGTGAATAGAATATGTTTAAAACAAGTAATTGTTTGACATCATTATGCATGTATGATTCTGAATTGAAACCATCAACTCACAACTCTTGCACTAAGATTACGAATCTTCTATCGTGTATGTTTGAGGCAGTATACGGGTATATCCCCACTTTTCATAACTTTCTGTTCTTGTAAAGGTTGGATCCAATATTCTAAATTCCCCTTTATGTCCTTTTAGGCAGGGGAAATTGTATGGTTTCCCTGAAAAATATACTTGTATACGAATGGTGACTTGCCTTTCCCTTGCTCTATCCACCTTTTTAATCAAATAAAGTATCCTTGTATATTTTGTTTAATATTCATTTCTGTTAACTTTATCCGAATTTCATTTAAAGTTTCTAAAGTATTTAATTTTGATTCTATGTTTCTTTAACTTGACTCATTTTGTTTTGTATTGTTGCGTAGGAAAAGTGTTTCCCCTCTCATGTTTGACAAGAAAGCCTTGTCTTTATACTTGTCGATTACACAGTTTATTTATCTTCTTTATCAAGTTATAACATAATTATTCTTTTACTGCAACAATTGATTTTTGGAAAGAACCGTTTTCGCTCTGCATTCTTATAGCGATATAGTAACTGAAATTACTAAATGATCTGAATGAATATTAGGGGTATGTCACTACTGCAGTGTACATTAATGTATGGGATGTAATATAAAATGCAACTTGTTTTTAGTGGTTAGCTTGCCACCGCGTGTATTGCTTGTCAAATGGGGTCAATGTCATCTTTTAAATTCAGCGAATACACATTTCAAGGTGCTTCCGTTTCGGCTTTAGGATTATTGTTATGTTTGTAGTGATGCACAAGGCTCGAAAACCCACAATAAACTACCATCAAGTTACTAGGAAAGGGTCTAAGCATGCGGCCATTTTAATTTTCTCATGGTTGGATATGTACGGTTATAGATAATCTCTCCCAAAAGGTGTCTTTTGATATCAAATATATCAACAAGAATCAATAAAAGTTTAAATCTCAAAGG